ATCTATAAACAGCTGGGAAATGCTTGATTTTGATGATTTTTAGCACAAAAATGGCCGCCATTCGGCCATCTTAAATCAGATCGTGAAACAAATTGACGTGCATATGTATAATATCATGTGTGATGTACAAAAAATATGTGTGAAGTTTGATTGTGATTGGTCCAGGCATTTCTAAGATACAGGTCCGGACGTACGCACGCACACAGCCGACACACGGAGGTCAAAACATAAGTCCCCGTTTTCGGACTGCGTCCGAACGGGGACTAATAAGGAAACAATATTGAGTACAGGTACAACAATGTAGGTTTGTTTAATGAAAGGCAACATTAGCTGAATTAGGTGTTCAACTCTTGAATCTGTCATCATTACAACATTTACAACAGAGGTGTTTTTTCCACACTAACCAGTGCCTGATCCATTCTTCCCGCTTCAAAATTGACTATTTGATATTATTTTATCATGAATTGACCATTTGATATTATTTAATATCATGAATTGACCATTTGATATTTTTTTAGCACTCACCTGGAAGCTCTCATTAATGATGTCATCACAGACGCCAGGAACCGGATATGGTTTGATAGGTTGCTTGACAGAAGTCGTAATATATTCATTGTGATTGGAGATGACTTTCGATAGGTAAGAATCGGGTGGAGAAACTTCATAAAATACTGTGATTTCATCAACAGGCACCAATTTGGCCTAAAAAATAAAAACATTATTTTAAAATCCTTGTGACATTAGCTTTGCTAACAAATGAACTGATTAGTTATGTCTGTGAAACTGACATGCCCTGTAATAGAGAAATAAATTGCCTACAAAATATAATCAGAAGAGAAGTATGGGCTTTTATCAGGTAGATTATCGACTCAAGCTATAAACAGACTCCACATATTACAAATTAGGTAATACAAATCAATAATAATCAGGTCTACAGATTATCTAACACTTTTTAGAAATTCATTTACTTTATAGCCATTGTAAGATTACATGGTTTCAGAATAAGTCATCAGAGAGCAACCACGGCAACAACACTTAATAAGACAAGTCAGTAAGTTGATAAGAAATGCATGAAGCAATGAATATCCTCCTATAATGAGCAACTCTTAAAAGTCAGATAATTGCCCTCTAGAGGTCAGTTGACAAACTCAACTCATAAATATTAATCTAACCTTCTTCCTCAGTTTCTGGATACGGTTGACAACTTCCCTAGCAACGCCCTCATCCAGCATGGATTGGTCAGGAGTTACATCCAATAGTACCAGCACCTAAAAACAAGTATTTAGACAACATCTAGTGAAAGCAGGTAATCTTGTCAAACCTTAACTTTCTCTGACAGGACACTTATTTGTCAAACAATTTGTATTGAATTCTTTAACCCTCCCTTTCTGTTGACATATATACATCATATCATAAACTACATGTTTTGGATCTTTAAAATATTACAGTAGATATAAGTTATTTACATTAATCTTCAGTCAGACATGTCTTTATTAAAGTAATGTTATTTTAGAGTCATAACAAATTTACTACATTTCAACAGAACTCCAGGCTCCAATAATTCTATTTGCTTCAACACTTGGCAAAATGTTAGTTTCTTTCCTCCAATAATGTCCGAATTCACAATAAAAATTCTCACATGTTTATGTTTCTTTCATATGTCAAGGGAAATCCGTTTGAATGTTTACTGGTACATTTGGAAATATTAATTTAGTTCGTCACCTGTTGACAACTATATGGATGCTGCTTTCGGCAGCCGATAAGTTAGTGTTCACATTGAATGACTAGAATACATGCGCATATATGCATAGAAACAGGACATTTTGAGAAAACAATTTCTGAGACAAAGTTATATGAAATCTTACTTCAAGCATGAATAATTAACTACTGTTATCGTACAAGTATTTGCTTACAATGCCTACACAAGAGAAGATAGGATTCCAGTATTAATCGAACACCATGTGATATTACTACAAATGTGATATTACTACATATAAACTTTTAAATAAACCGATAAATCTTTAAGGATTCCCTTTAGCAAAATTAATTTCTTTTACTTCAGACAATAGGTTTTTA